CCACTCCCTGCGTGTGCACTCCTGATAAGTACCTTGTAACCCCCTGTGTGTGTATCCTGATAAGCCCAGAAGGCCACTGGAGCACACTGATATGAGACACTGAAGAAGCCCACCCATGGGGTATAAAAGAAGGACTCCCACAGCAGCAGTCAGACGTTTGTCTGCCCTCCACAGACAGCCATTCTCCTCTCCCCTGGAAACTGCCAAACTGCCATTCCTGCTCTGCCTTTGAGCCCAGACTGTTAAGAGGCCTCTCTTCGAGTCAAGAGACCGAGCTCCTTGCCGCGGCATATTTTGACGACCTCTGTGTGTCTCTGTCAGCGAGTGTCTCTGGGTGGCCTGCCAAGGACTGAAACCCATCAGCTCTCTGGTAAATAAACCTGTGTGATTTCTTGCATTGTTTATCTCCTGTGTCTTCTCTCGTTTTAGTTTTTGGTTAAGCTCGGCCATATTAATTAATAGTAAGTACCCTTTGACGTCTGTATTGGTATATCCAAATGAGGCGCTCTGGGTCACCTGTGCATACATTCCCATAGATAATTGGAACAACGGACTCCTGCGTATCCTCCTGAATTCGGTTTGGACTTCATTTCTGCCAGGAAGCACGCCCTGACTCCAAATCAGAGCCGGTTGTCACTCTGTACCAGGCGCCCCCACACCAGCCTGTGCTCACCAAGTTCATAGGACTTACATGTTTGCACTCTCATTACCCATTTACCTCTCCGCGTCTCCACTAGACTGTGACTCTGAGACAGGACTGCATCCATCTTGTTCACCATTGTGTCCCCAAAGTCCAGCAAATTACCGACTCATAGCCGGGGCTGCTGAGGTATGTAAAGGCTGAACACACGAGTCATTTGACAGTAAGTAAACTGTCAAGTATTTTTATAGCTGCCTGATATGAGCCTCAAGTTCCCAAGTAGAGTACTTAAGAGAGTAACATCTAATGAAGTGTTTTAAAACTGAGATAATTACAATCAGAATATACCCGCTTCTAAGTTAAGCCAAGTTTGTTCTATTCGTTTAATGGAGTTGGCTAAATAGAAACTCAAATAAGTGCTTGCTAATTAACAAATTGCTGAATTAAAATACATGAGCTCTAGTTAAAATCTGAAGTTACCATGTGCGTGTACTAAGCACACAGTGAGTAAGGTCGTTTCTCAAAGGGATAGTTTTTGTTGTCTGCATTATTTATGAGGTTCTTCTGAGTAAATTTCTAGACATTGGAAGCAGCACATTTTGGTGATGGGGGTGGGGAGGGAGGAGTGCTTTATCTCTGGAGGGTTTTTATTCTCCACTCTGAGCAAGGTACAGCTCAGAAATGTCCTAGCCAGTACACAAAGGAGACACCGAATCCTTCTATCCCCTACGAATCCACTCGTGGATCTCCCAGGCGTAGGAAGAAAGCCAACAGGAGATGTCTTAGGACTTTTTTATGCTCTATTTTATTCCATAAAGAAGTTTATTTGGCCAACATGTCATTAGTGACATTTATTTCATTAATCCTGGAATTCATATTTCAGCTCAAAAGTTCCTTCCTTAAAAATTCCTTTGCCAGAAGAAACCAAGATGGCGGCATAGGTAAACACCGGAGTTTGCTGCCTCGAACAACCACTTCAAAAATACAACTAAAAGACGGAACGGACATCACCCAGAACCACAGGAAGGCTGGCTGAGGAGGGACTCTTCAACTAGAAGGAAAAACAACAGCATTACGAGGCTTTGAGGAGGCGCAGTGCGGAAAATTTAAAGGTACGGTGGTGCGGCAGTGCGCGTGCAAAGCGGGCTGGTGGCTGAGGACGCGATTGTCGTTTTCAGTCGGGAGTGAGTCTCAGACTCTGGGCTACAGATCCGGGCGAGTCTCTAGGGACCCAGACTCAAACGGGAGAAGAGGGACTGTCTGGCTACGGTCCCTCCGAGGTTTGCAGCGGTTACGGGGACAGAGAGGCAGAGCCCCTGGAGACGGACTGAGAGCGGCCATAGCTGCTCCCTCCCCCCGCCCTGTTGAGCCCGCCCCGCCCAAACCCTGCGCAGAGCCATTTGCCAATTGCCTCAGGCAAAGGCTGGACTAGCGCCTCCCCAGAGGACTGAAGTTTTCCACATAGCTGATTCCTACAGCCAGTCGGCCTGGTGGTCAAATCCCTCTAGTGTTAACTACAACAATTAAGGCTTGGCTAGAACAAGACTGCGCACAAAGACCACAAGGGGGTGCACCAAGAAAGCATAAAAGATGCGGAGACAAAAAAACATGACAGAAATGGAGGATATGGAGCTAAGAATCGCAATTTTGAGGGCTTGCTATAAACTTGAACAGAGCCTCACGAAAACTAATGAGACCCTCGATGCTACGATAAAGAAATTAGAAAGTAAGCATACACGGACTGAAATAAAGAATATTATACCCAATAGCAGACCAGAGGAGCACAAGAATCAAACCGAAGAAGCAAAAAACACCCAACTGGAAAAGCAAAATGAAAAAAGAATCCGAAAGTGTGAAGATAGTGTAAGGAGCCTCTGGGACAGCTACAAGCGTACCAACATCAGAATAATAGGAGTGCCAGAAGATGAGAGACAGCAAGATATTGAAAACCTATTTGAAGAAATAATGGCAGAGAACTTCCCCCACCTGGTGAAAGAAATGGACTTACAGGTCCAAGAAGCGCAGAGAACCCCAAACAAAAGGAATCCAAAGAGGACCACACCAAGACATATCATAATTAAAATGCCAAGAGCAAAAGACAAAGAGAGAATCTTAAAAGCAGCAAGAGAAAGAGACTCAATTACCTACAAGGGAATACCCATACGACTGTCAGCTGATTTCTCAACAGAAACTTTGCAGGCCAGAAGGGAATGGCAAGAAATATTCAAAGTGCTGAATACCAAGAACCTACAACCAAGACTACTTTATCCAGCAAAGCTATCATTCAGAATTGAAGGTCAGATAAAGAGCTTCACAGATAAGGAAAAGCTAAAGGAGTTCATCACCACCAAACCAGTATTATACGAAATACTGAAAGGTATCCTTTAAGAAGAGGAAGAAGAAAAAGGTAAAGATACAAATTGTGAACAACAAACATGCATCTATCAACAAGTGAATCTAAGAATCAAGTGAATAAATAATCTGATGTACAGAATGAACTGGTGATTATAATGAATCAGGGACATAGAAAGGGAATGGACTGACTATTCTTGGGGGGGGGAAAGGGGAATGGGAGATTCGGGAAGAGACTGGACAAAAATCGTGCACCTATGGATGAGGACAGTGGGTGGGGAGTGAGGGCGGAGGATGGGGCGGGAACTGGAAGGAGGGGAGTTATGGGGGGCGGGAAAGAGGAACAAATGTAATCTGAACAATAAAAATTTAATTAAAAAATAATAATAAAAAAATAAAAACGAACATTTTAAATCCTAAAGAACCTTTCCCAGAACTATTAGCCTTTACATTTTAGAGAAAACAATTTGGTTGATCTCTGAAATTTCTCTAGAACTCAAGCTCTGTGAGGACAGGAGCTACGTCTGGTTTTGCTCACCACTGTATCCCCAGGGCCTGGAGCAGAATCTTATGAGTAACAGGAACTGAGGAAGACCGAGGCCCGATGGGTAAATGATGGCAGAAGCCACTTTTCCCCACGGGCCCTTGTTGAGTTGCACCGATTCCAGCTCTCACTCTGATAACCCGGACAGGCGGCGGAACAGAAATCGCCTCACCCACGGTGGAACTCTAGCAAGAGATGCTCCTTCCAGCAAGGTCGAACCCAATGACTATGCAATGAGCATGAATTGGAAATGAACCATCTCCTATGAGGAATTGAAGTCTGGGATTAAGCTGGGTATTCTAGAACACTCTAACGAAGGTCTTCAAGAACCTGTACCGCCTGGCACTCTGCCCTGCCTTTCCTCCCTGGCCTCGTCTCCTCCCACTCTCCCCTTTCCTCACTCACTGCAGCCACCCTGGCCTCCTTGACATCCCTCAAACCTGCCCAAGACCTTCCTGCTTTTGAATCTTTGCACTAACAGTTCCCTCCAGTGCTTGACTAGTTTGCATGAAAATCAATTCTGATTTGGGAGTGGCATCCAGGCATTAGAGTATTTTGTACATGTCCTGTATTTCTTCAAAATTACCAGGAATCATTGTAGCTTTTTACAGATAGCTGTTGAAACTGAGCGATGGGTACATTCAGCCCCTTAACTGTTCCATCAACCACATACAAAACAAAATGAACGCTTCTCCAGTGACCCTCATGTGCAACAGGGTTGCGAAGCATTGACCTGTCATCCCCAAACGAGACCATCCTGCTCATAAATACAGTAATTGAGACATTTCCAGTTGAAAGGATGTTTTAATGAACTAAAAAGATACAAGAAGAAAAACATCAAATTTATTTTTGAAAATACAAGAAAAGAGAGTAAACATTTGAATTCATTTTGCAATATACATGAACAAAAACCTATTCCATGTTCTTTTTGTCTCAACTAAACTCCCAACCAATGTGGCATCCACAGAAGGGGAAGGTTCTGGCCCTTGGTTTGCAGGACAGAAACCTGGCATGAGAACATGTATAACTTGTGCCCCAGACTCAGTCTTCCTCACTCAAGGCAAAGGCTTGTTGACAGTGATGCCCCACACAGATGAGAAGTCAAGGGCCTCTCGCTACCGGCTCCCCCCAGAGCTCTAGAATAGCCATTTCCCATGTGAGGTCTTACCATAGCCTTCACTGATGTTTAAATGTATTTTGATTTAAAGTACAGAGCATGGAAGAATGAAATTCTCTTCAGTTTCAAATGAACTAATATCTAAATCTGAAAATATTATCAAAGGTGAACCTTTTCTGTTTAAAAAAATAAACCACCCAAGTGAATTTATTGATGTGCAAGATACTGTTAATAAATCTGACAAAGAAAAATCAAACCGTCAGTCTATTTTGCCATAGTAATGAGAATCTATAGCAGGCTAACTCAGTTTCGGGGAAGTGGAACCACATGAGCTCTATCAGAAATGGTTACTGGGATGATTCTATTTGATCTGAGCTCTCCTCAGAAGACTGGGGCAGCGGCGAAGCCATGCTGATTTGGGGGCTATTCCCACTCATTCTTACCAGATGGCTGTTGATGACACCAAGTTCTTGTATCACCATACTCAGATCTTCGTGTAATTTGACTATTGCATTTTTCACCTCCCCTAGAAGACCCTGAATGGAATTGTTTGCTTTGGGCTCCTGAGGCAGGCCTTTGGTTGTCTGAAAGCTAGAACAGGGCACAGAGGTGAAGCGGTCTACGTTTTGGGTGGAAAACCCTACCCGATCACTGCTGGGAATCTGACTTATCTTCTTGTCGGCAGAATCAGAGTTGTCTGGAAGACTTTCCAGTAGATTGAAGTTGTCAGATTCTTCATCAGAAGACAGTGAGCTCCGAGGAGCAAAGGGGTGACGAACCCTGGCTGTCTTATCTTTATCTTTAAAGGAGACAGAAGAAGACTGCTGATGGGACAAAGCCCAGTAGGAAGGTCCAGCCAACATCCGGGGTAAGAGAGGAGCAGACTTGTCTGGAGAGGCCGTGTCAGGCGACGACATGGACAGAGTAGAAAAGGAGGATGTCCCCTCAGAGGTGGTTGACACTAAAATGTATAAATGACAGAGAAAGATGATGCAGCATACAAATGAGAGCACCAGCTAAAATCATTTTACAATGTCAAATCCGATCTGAGAGGTCTCAACATAAATACACTACTTAGAATTTGATGTGCAAAATAATCATAATAAACCTAAATAAACCTAAAGCAGGAAACAGAGAAAAATCTAAAGATTTTCTAAAGGAAACTAAAATAAAATTACCAATATTTATCTTCACTCTCAGATCCTAACATATTTTTATATTCCACTTATCAGCGAGAGTAGAAAGTCAAGTGTTACGCTCCATTCTACCGATGGCATTTTAAGTTGACATTTAAAATAGAAAGTCTGAGAAACCTGCAACTTACATCCCTCCTCCATTTTTCCTTCTACAGAGAACACTATGGCAAAATGAACCACCAATTACAACTATCAAAAGTTGTGAAACTCATTTTTTTCTCTCAATAGGCAAATATGTCAAGACTGAGGTCCAGGCCATCTAAGACCCAGAACACCAGCGCACGTACGCAATTAGTTTTCCACCAAGAAATTGCATGTAAAATAAAAAGCTTTCTAAATCTATTTTCCAAAAAATTAAAGATTTAATAACATTTTAACTTTCTTTCAGGAAAAATTGTATGAAGTCTCTTCTTCAGCACTTCATTCTAAAGCATTATTTTCCAAAGTGTGTTCTGAAGAATGCTGTGTGCCTGACGGTGTAAAAAGATGTCCTGTGAACACAGGGCTTCCAAGTCAAATCAGACCGAGTGGCTGCACACTGTGCCTCCCAATGTCCATCAGCACAGTATTTACTCATGGTTTTCCAGACTTTCTTGGACACAGAACTTTTTCTTGTCTCCCTGGAATATCTAAGTACATTCACTTATGTATTAGGTGGTAATAAATGGGCTAAATCCAGTTCTAAAGTCTTTGAAATTAACTCTGGACTTGCTACTTAAATTAAAAAACAAAACAAAAAACACTTATTCTCTATAGTCATAGAACAGGGGAATCAATGCTTACTGCTTAGCACCTATTACTTATATATTACTTACTATATTTTTTATTTCCTTTACATACCCACATCCCTTTAAACTAAATTGGACCTCTTGTAAAAATTATGGCTGGTGTAGGCGGCTTCTATTTTCTGCTTCAAAGCTTTCCAGTTCTCGGGAAAAATCCCAATCACAAAACTTTCTGGGGTGAAATGAGTCCTCTAGTGATGCAGCAGCAGGCTATGAAAGGGAAGTGGGCACGTCATCGGCACAGGGTCAAGATGAACCAGCGCCCCTGAGAATCAGGCTGGCTTATCCACAGTCTATCCTTGGATTAAAAGGGGTGCGACAGTTTCCTACTATGCTAATGACGAAAGCCTCAACATGTGTGGGCCCTGAGTCGCACGACATGTCCCTGCACCATCCTCCTGCGTGGCTCCCCTGTTTCCTACACCGTGTCTTTCTCTCTCGTGGTTTACTCATTTGGGAGCAGCACATACTCCAGCAGTTCACTGGAAAGGGATGTAGGAGAAGGAAAAGTTTTGAGAACTTGTTTGTTTGAAAATGTCTGTAAAGAATGACTGATAGATATGCAAATCTTTACCAAAAAAGGGAGAGTGGGAGAAAGGGTGAGAGGCTATATTTAATTACTAGAAGGTAGTCACAAAACTCTAGCAATACTGGTCCCTGGACCAGTAGCAGCGGCAGCGGCAGCAGCAGCACCTGGGAATTTGTTAAGGATGAGGTCATGGGCTTCACTGCAGACCCACTAAATCAGACGCTGAGTGTTAACAAGCCTCCAGGTGTCTCCGGGTGTGTTAGGTTTGAGAATCCCTGCTTTCTACTGTACCTCCACCTTTGTTTCCTCTGCAGCGGCAGCGGCTGACTAAATAGCTTACCACTGTTCACAGTTTCACAGCTTTGATTCATGGGCTACGTGATGCCTTCGCTCCTAAGGAGCTACTTCACCTCTAATTGCTGCGCACCATTTACTTTTGTTTCCAAACACGGCACAGCTGTACCAGACACTTCAGGCTGCGCTCTGGGGGCATCTCCCCGCCCGCTCGGGGACCCTTCTCTGACTCACTCTGAAGTTATGTGGGTATCTGGTTAACCTTCATCCCCTTCAAGCAGTTTATCTGCAAAACCGAACACAGCAATTATTGCAAATAAGCTGCAGTGAATGTGTGATGTATGCACACCAATTAATGCTCCGCTTGCCTGAAGTTCGCACCAATGAAACGATCCCAAGTGCTGTGTTAGCTCTAACTTTATACTCACGAGGAACACCGAACCATTCTATTACAACTTTAAATTTAAAAAGCATTTAGGACTCTTGGGTGCAAAAGTAAAATGACAAATACATTTCTAGAAATATTTTAGAACTTAGCTGTAATGCAAATTTTTCCGTAAGTAGTAGGTCCTTGGTCAATTAAATACTTCAAACAGTTCATTGTAAACCAGGGATTTTTTTTCATTCTCCAATTGATTTATTTCAATTTTCCTAGCTGGTTTATAATGGCTGCCAAGTTAGCTATACACATAAATTAAAATATTCTGATTTTGCCCAGTGGTTAAAAAATATTTTACACAAACATTCATAGCAGAATTATTCATAATAGTCAAAAGGGAAAACAACTCAAATGTCCATCAACTGTGAGTGGATAAATGAAATGTGTGCATCTATACAATGGAATATTATTCTGCCATAAAAAGGAACAAAGTATGACACATGCTATAACATGGATGGACCTTAAAAACATTATGCAAAGTGAAGGACACAGTCACAAAGGCCCCATGCTGTATGATTCCACCATATAAAGCAGGGGTCCTCAAACTACGGCCTGCGGGCCACATGCAAATACAAATATTGTATTTGTTCCCGTTTTGTTTTTTTACTTCAAAATAGGAATTTGTTCATAGTTTTTTTTTAAACTATAGTCCGGCCCTCCAACGGTCTGAGGGACAGTGAACTGGCCCCCTGTTTAAAAAGTTTGAGGACCCCTGAATAAAGTGTCCAGAACAGGCAAATCCATAGAGGCAGACAATAGACTAGTGGTTGCAGGAGTTAGGAGTAGAGAGTGACTGCTAACGAGCACAGGGCTTCTGGGTGAAGACGTCCAGCTAGAGGAGTTGCTGGGCTGTCTGGGGCAGGGCAGCTGTGTGGCTGTGACTTCCCGAGTGATAAGGTTCCCTTCAACACGGAGCTTCTGAACCAGCCCAACCCGTGGCTCAGGGTTAGCGGAAAGGGTTTGCAGAACTGTTTCCTATCATTTTCCCACTTCTTTTGAGGAAATTGTTAATTTTTCCGGATCTGAAGTCTTCAGATAAGTTTTTGGGGAGTCAAAAGTTATATGCAGATTCTCAAGTGGGTGTTGGTGTCCCTAACCCCCGTGTTGTTTAAGGGTCCATTGTACTGTTTTTCCTATACACACATACTTATGATACAGTTTAATGTATAAATTAGCCACAGTAAGAAATTAACGATATTAATAAAATGGAGCCATTATAACAATATAGTATAATAAAAGTTATGTGAATGCGGCCACTTCTTTCAGGGGACCTGCAGTCTCCATATGGGCTCAATGCTTTCTGACGTGACGCGCTGTCATCATTTGGAAAACGTTTTCTGCTCATGTCTTCCACCCACAGATTTAATGCCTTTTCCATCCTAACTAAGCAGTTATCACCAGCTGCGGCTGGAACTTACAGTGTGAGGTGCGACAATAGAACTAGCACAAATTTCTTTTTCCTGCTTCACAATTCACAGATAGAAGATCTGTTCTTACCACAGAGCTTAGCAACCTCAGCACACGATTTCTCTTCTTTCCTTACTAAGTGTAACCACTTTTACCTTTCCATTTAAAAGCAGCACTGACTGGCTTCTCTTTGGCATATCCAAACTGCCAGCATCACTACTCTGATGCTTTGGAGCCATTACTAGGTAAAAGGAGGGTTACATGAACACAAGCACTGAGAGACCACACAGTCTGATCACTTGGATGGCTACACAGTGACTAATGGGCAGATGGCATAAATGTCATGGGCATGTTGGACAAAGGGGATGATTAACATCCTGGGCAGGATGGAGGGGAAAGCATGAGATTCCACCATGCTACTCAGACCAACATGCAGTTTTAAACTTATGAATTGTTTATTTCTGGAATTTTCCATTGAATATTTTCAATTTGCAGTTGGCCAGTGGTAGGTAAAACTTTGAAATGCAAATACATGCCCTTGACCGGAATCGAACCCGGGACCCTTCAGTCCCCAGGCCGACGCTCTATCCACTGAGCCAAACCGGTTTCGGCAGGTATCTCATCATTTCTTGAATCCTCAACCAGCCATTCCCCTGAGTATTCCTCAGAACATGTCATCACTCAGAACTGCCTCTCTCTGAAATCTTATTTTCCAAGATTACTTTCCTTCTGAATTACTCCCAGCCCCCTCATTCCTTTAAATACATCTACCCTTTGGCCTCGTTGAGACAATAGATCTAATGATCCTTTTGTTTTCTCTCACTCTACCAGTGTCTTCCTGGCTCTACCTCCTTTCTTGTCCAGTGTAGAATCCCATCATCCATCACTTTGAACCGCTTTCTTGCTACCTCCTTGCTGCTGTGTCTTCTGCCTTACCTGCTGCTAATTCCTAATGCGAGAGTTAGCAAACCTCTTTCTAAAGGACCGGATAGCAAATATTTTAGGCTTTGTGGGACATACAGTATCTGTTGCAACTGCTCAGCTCTGCTGTTACAGCACAAACACAGCCAAAGACAATATGAACCAATCAGTGTGGTTGTATTCCAAGAGCCCTTTGATTATAAAAAACAGTCAGTGGCCCTGGCCAGTTTCACTCAGTGGTTAGAGCGTTGGCCCTTGGACAGAAGGATCTCAGGTTCGAGGGCACATACCTCAGTTGCAGGCTCGATTCCCTGGTTGGGGCACATGCAGGAGGCAACCAATCAATGTGTCTCTCACATAGATGTTTCTCTCTCCCTCTTCCTCCTCTCCACTTTCTCTTAAAAAATCAATGGAAAAAATATCCTCAGGTGAGGATTAAAACTACCCAGTGGGCCAGGGTAGTTTGCCAATCCCTGTCCTAACCTTATTCCAATTTATATATCTATCTTTTCATTCCCACCCCCAGGCTGCTCGGCACTACTGGAGAAAAGCATAGACCCCATAAACTAGGATTGCTGCAAGTGACCACTCCTTCACCTTATCAGTGCCTTATCAGTTCCCTCTTCCATTCTCTAGAGCAGTTATTCTAAATCTATTCCAGTCTCTCCACAGCCGTAGTATCACTCCAAACTCCTCAGTCTTGGCAGGTGACATCAGACAGTAAGATATTGAGGCCAAGACTACAGTATATGGTACCCGGAGGCTTAATACATTTTAATTATTAAAATCAACAAAACCCTTCCCTCACACTGATACATCCTTTCTCCTCCTTCCTTACAGGCCCTCAGGATGAGGTGACTCCCTTTCTGTTCTGATTCTAGGCCACCTCCCCCAGATCATGCTCCATCTTGGGCCACCTCCCTCTTCCTCACCCTCTCTCGTTTCCTATCTCTCACCCAGTTTCCTTTCCCACAATAGCCTCTGAAGTGCCGCCTCCCTGTTTCACCTCCTCCAAATCCATTCTCCACACTCCTGCCAGAGTAATTTTTCTAAAACACATTGGTAAAGCTACTCACCTGACTTAAAACTGTTAGTGACTTGCAGTCCAAAACAAAGTCCAAACTTAACCTGGCAGACATAGTGCATCTATCCTGGCTTAACTGTCCAATGTTTTCTTTTGTTACTTTTTCATGTACACTTTCCATTCCTTCTCTACTAAGCTGCTTTTAGTTTGCTTATTAAATATTGATTGCCTCCTAAGTGCAAGGCACTGTGGTTGGTGCTGAGGATCCTATATAATAAAAGCCTAATATGTAAATCGACCGAATGGCGGAATGACCAGTCACTATGACGCGCACTGACTACCAGGGAGCAGACGCTCAACGCAAGAGCTGCCTCCAGCCCGCAGGCCCCAGGCTAACCAAGGTGGGTGCCAGTGGGGGCCCCCAATCACCCTGCCAATCACCCCACAGAGGGAGGTGACGGGGGGGGGGGGAGGGAGCCAGGGCGCGGGGCTGGCAAGTGGGCAGCACCAGGCTGGCCAAGGTGGGTGCCAGCGGGGGCCCTCCTCCATTGCCCTGCTGGTTGCCCCACAGATCAGCCCTTATCGCTGGCCAGGCCTAGGGACCCTACCCATGCACGAATTTTGTGCATCAGGCCTCTAGTATAATAATAAACAGGGTAGATGTGGTCCCTTCCCTCGTGAAGTTGACATTCCACTTTTGGGGAAAGACATTAAAAAACTTAATGCATATATAATTATATTTAATTAGAGTGACAATTAGTGCTAGGAAGAATAATTGTAGGATACTGAGATAGCATACAGTTGGGGGGATTTGAAATAATCTAGGGGTCAGGAAATCTTGATGAAGTGATGTTTGAGCTGACCTCTAAAGGTGAGGAAGAGTGAACTAGGAAAGAGGTGGATTAGAAGTCAGAGGGAACAAGTGTCCAAAGATGGTGAAGCCACATGGTTTACTTGACAAATGGAAAGAACACCAGGCTGCTGAAAGGCAGCAGCTAGACTGCTCAGGGCCTGGGAGGCTATTGGATCTTTGGGAACATGGGAGCAGCCCATGGTTTAAGTGGGGAGGGTTAGTCATCAGGTCATTCTGGCTGTTCTACGGAGAATAAATTAGAGCGTCACAGAATTTCTTTGCTCAGTCACAACTTTGTATTATTCCTCAGCCTGCATGCCCTTTCTGGAAGAACAGAAGTTTAATTGTTCCTGAGAATAAATGAGAAATTCTTGGGTACTTTTGGAAACAACCAAAAGGAAGCTCTTGTTTATGCTAGTTCTTTCTAATGTGTTCCCCAACAAAACTGCTCAGAACTTGTGCTTCAGTCGAGCACTTGTCACCCACAAGGATGGACTGCCCATTAGCCCTTTAATAAAAGGGCACTTTCCCAGCTGAGAAAGTCCTCTATGGCACACACATGTTAATACCACTGGATGGAGAGTGAAAGGAGGGAACAAGATAGGGGGGCAGAGAGCAGAGAAAAGTAAATGAAGAATGCTTCAAAAGAGCATTTATTTTTTATTTATTTTTTTTTTTAGACTCACCCCATTCCGTTAAGCTCTTGAGGATATCAGCATCCCTCTGAGCAATGCTGGGCTGGGCTGGTTTCTGAGAGTCCTTATCGATTACAGTCTCCTTCGCTGGGTCAAACGTCTTGAACGAGGGAGAGACATAGAGTGTCTCTACAGAGGCCTGGTTAAAGAAAGTCGAGTCCGACTTGGATATTCTTACACTTGGATGGATAGACTCTTCTTTACTTGATGACCCAAATGCTGATAAAGTTGTCAATATTTCAAAATTTGTGGCATTGGACTGCTTTTCTAGAGGCATTTGAAAAGGGTTTTCTGTTACAGTATTTGTAATGGTACTCTCTGGTTTCTTGTCCAAATTCACATTTGTCTGCAGAGATGGGTTTTTTTCTGAGGGAGTAGATACAGCATCTGTAAAATAACCAATCAAAACTGAAAACACTCTATTTCAAATCTGTTGCAATTTTGATAAATCAAAATTTTTATGCCATTACAAAATTCTCTCCTATTTAATTTTCTACTTTCTTACAGTGTTTCTCTTGTGCCTCTCTGAAGTATACCCACACTATAACTGATGCCTGAGTCATTCGAAGGCTGCCTTCTCTTAAGCACAAGGAAAGGAAAGCTTCAAACAACTTGTCTTAAAATATTTCCCCCTTCACTTACTCCTCTGTTTCTGAAACCACTATATTTTTAGTACCTTCAAGCTTTCATCTTCTACAAGATAAACTAGAGAAAATTTGGCATATCATATTGGTCTATCCTTACAGAATCCCCTGTCACACACACACACAAAAAGTCTTTTTCTCCTGAAATAAAAAAATGTCTTCTTGCCCCAATGTTTCAACAAAGCTCATACAAGAAAATCACTACTTTAGGTAGTGGTCTAATTTTAATAAATCCTTTGTCACATGGGAGAAAAGAGGCAATCTTTCAGAGCTGTTGTGATGATTACTAAAATGTTAAGTTCCATCTGGTCAGGGATCTTTGTCCATTTTATTCATTAATATCACCAAGTATCTGGAGTATAACAAAGTACCTGGACTACTTTGTTATAATAGTTATTACAAATAGAAGGAACTGAAGGAGTTCCAAAGAGTTGATATTTAAGGTGGGTCAGATATAGGAATCTCTCTTGAATCTATGAATTATGAGCCTGGTCCAAATTTCCAGGTGTACATTGTTATCCATACTCAGCCCTAGGGCTTGCTCTCAAATAGTTGAACATGGAAAGGAAGAAAATTATTTCTAAGGGAGAGAGAGTTCTTGAAATTAAAAGCATCACTATGTGAGAGAGGACAATAGCGAGGTTATGTCACTCGAAGCTCCCAAAAAAGAGGATACAGGAATTGTGTAATTCGCTATCAGGTGTTTGTATATCACAATGTACATCAAAACCTACCTCATAATGCACATTCATATGTTAGCAGCATCACTTTCAGGCTCTGAGTTACTAAGAAAAGCAAATTTTCTTAGACTCTAAAAACCTTCCTTTCAATTTTCATCCATAGTTGGAGGCAACCCCGGGCAAAAATGCTGCTAGTATACCAGTTAGACAATTCAAGAAATGTACAGCACTACCTCTACCAGGAATTCCATTTTTTCCCAACCCTTTCATCTCCGAACTTCCTTATCTTTCAAAACTCAACTCAAGAATCACCTTCTCTATCTCCTTTTCTTTCCTGCCTGTAACCTATTATTGTCTATCTTACCATATCCTATTTGGAACCCCGTGAATAACACTTCATCTCCTTTATTACAGGGTTCCTCTCCCCCACCTGAAAACAGGCTCTCGGGGAGACCTTGTTAGGAGTCATCTTTGCATCTCAGCACCTGAGAGTGCCAGTCCCATAGGATGTGTTCGATAAATGCTTGAGTGAAGGACAGACTGAAGCACAAGGACCAAGAAAAAGTAATGCCTTTGTTTTTCTAAGCTGAATATAGTTTACTTAGTAATGACGAAAGGAAATAGAAAACTGGTAGATGAAAACAACTTCTAGAATACTCCTAATTTGCATATGAGAAAGTTATATCTAGTTGGTAAAGGTTCTGTTAAAAATACTAACATATTCCCAGTAGAAAACTAGATTTATAGTATTCCAAAGTACATGTGTACATCTTTATATTTACATAAAAGTAAATTTTAGTCAAATATTTTCCGTTGACTTTCATTCTACATGTGAGAAAAATGGGGGGTGCGGAAGTCTTTTTCTATATGGTTGTAAGATTCTAATTGTTTTTTAAAATTTTTAAATATATATATATATTTTTTTTTTCAGAGAGGAAGGGAGAGGGAGAGAGAGAAACATCAATGATGAAAGAGAATCATTGATTGGCTGCTTCCTGCACACCCCACACTGGGGAGCGAGCCCACAACCTGGGCATATGCCCTGACCAGGAATCAAACTGTGACAACCTAGTTCATAGATGGATGCTCAACCACCAAGCCACACAGGCTGGGTGCAAGATTCTAATATTTCATATGAGATGGCAATATAATGAGATGGTGAAATGTTAAAGATATATAATTTAATCCCTGGAGAAAATACTAAAATTCATGCAAAGAGGTATAACTAAGGAGCCAACTGATAAGTTAAAAATTTAAAAGTATCGAATTAGCTCAAGAGAAGACAGCAAGGAAAGCACAGAGGAATAAAACACAGGTGGGACAAACAGATGGGACAAGAAGAAAGTAAAAGAGTAAATCTAAATTCAACTGTATCAGTAATTATACTAAAATGCAAATTATAAAGCATAAAATTTCAGACTGGATAAAAAAACAAGATCCAATCATATGCTGTATACAAGAGACAAGCTTAAAAACAAAGTCACATGTAAATTCAAGGATTGAAAAAAAGATATCATGCAACAATAAACCTAAAAAAGCTCAGTGGCTATCTTAATATCAGGTAAAATAGGCTTCAAGACAAGGAGTATTGCTAGAGAATAAAAAGGACATTTCATAATGACAAAAGGGCCAAACATCTCAAAGATATAACATTATAAATGTGTAAATGCCTAATAATAGAACTACAAATAAATGAAGTAAAAAAAATGACAGAATTAAGGCGAGAATTAGACAAATCCCACTAAATCACATTTGGCAATTTTGACATCCCTCTCTAAGTAACTGATAGAATAGATGAAAAATCAGCATGAATATCGAAGATGTATACAACACTTAACTCACTTGGCTCAATCAACATCTACAAACCACCACACTCAACCCTTGCATTGGTAGGTTTTTTCTCCTTGAAACTCATCCCTCCATAAATGCTTCAACAGAACTTTGCTGGCTCTCCTCCATCTCTCTAGGCCAGCAGTTCCCAACCTGTGGGTCACAACCCCTTTGGCGGTCGAACAACCCTTTCACAGGGGTCGCCTAAGACCAGGGGTCCTCAAACTACGGCCCGCGGGCCACATGCAAATACAAATATTGTATTTGTTCCCGTTTTGTTTTGTTTTTTACTTCAAAATAAGATATGTGCAGTGTGCATAGGAATTTGTTCATAGTTTTTTTTAAACTATAGTCCGGCCCTCCAACGATCTGAGGGACAGTGAACTGGCCCCCTGTTTAAAAAGTTTGAGGACCCCTGCCGAAGACCATCCTGCATATCAGATATTTACATTACGATTCATAACAGTAGCAACATTACAGTTATGAAGTAGCAACGAAAATAATTTTATGGTTTGGTCACAACATGAGGAACTGTATTTAAAGGGCCAGAAGGTTGAGAACCACTGCTCTAGGCAATCTTCTCAATATTCCTCCCTGGCTCTGTTCCCTCTAAATTGCAGACATTCTATCCTTGACCCTTTTATCTTCTGCTCCTACAATCTCCCAGGGTGATATCATCTATTACCTATTTAAACTAGGACTAGATCTATCACTTGTATGCAGGCAATGCACACATTTTAATTCTCAGCCCAGACGCCTGCTGAGGTCTAGCCCCAAATATATATATATCTATTCCTCTGCCCAGGGAGGTCTTATTGCCCTCCAGCCTCCTCATCCTTGGGTGTACATTTTACCTCTATTAATATGACCATCAAGCACAATTCACCATAGCTAAGATTTGGAAACAGCCTAAGTGTCCATCAGCAGATGGGTGGATTAAAAAACAGTGGTACATCTACACAATGGAATACTATGCTTCGGTAAAAAAGAAGGGATTCTTACCATTTGCAACAGCATGGATGGAACTGGAGAGCATTATGCAAAGTGAAATAAGCCAGTCAGAGAAAGATAAATATCACATGATCTCACTTATTTGTGGAATATAATGAACAACATAAACTGATGAACAAAAACAGATCCAGAGACAGAGAAGCATCGATCAGATTGTCAAACCTTAGAGGGAAGGCAGGGGAGGGTGGGAGTAAGGGGGAGAGATTAACCAAAGGACTTGCATGCATGCATATAAGCATAACCAATGGACACAGACACCAGGGGAGTGAGGGCATGAGTGGGGGGTGGGGGGGCAATGGGGGGGGATAAGGACACATATGTAATACCTCAATCAATAAAGAAAAAAATTAAAATTAAAAAAAGATAAATACCATATGATTTCACTTATATGTGAAATCTAAAGAAATACTGGTAAATGAAACACACACACACACACACACACAAATATGGCCATCAACTTCCCAGTCACTCAAGTTATTTTGGAGCTATGGTTGCTAGCACAGCTCTAGGAGGTCTCCCACTCTATCCCCTCAGTTCATTCTGCACAGCACACCCAGAGTGACCTTTCTAAAATTAATATCAAATCATGTTACTTCTCTCCATTACTTCTTCAAACTACTTCATGTGGTTTACAAGGCTCTGCATAAATTAGATCTATGTGCTTCTCTTATTTTTTACTACTATTTTTCCTAAAACTATATGGTCCTACACTAAGTTCTTTCATTTTTTTAAATTTACCACGTTCCCTCTGTGCACCAGCCTCCACCCATGCTGTTCCTTTTGCCTGAAATGTTCTCTGCCTCTTTATATCTGATTCCCAACTTCCAGGGTGATGTCCATTAGGTGGACATACATGTTCATGTCTCTGCATTTTTGCATGTGCTGTTCCCTCAACCTAAAATATCCTTCACCCCTACCCTTCCTCTCCATCAAAAACAGCTCCATTCTTCTACACTCAGCTCAAATACAACCTCCTTTGTGAAACCTTTTCTTTATCCTCCAAGTTAAAATGAATCCTTTTTTTTTGTTTTTGCTTAATCCAATGTGAATATTTATATTTTCACTTATTTCATCTTTCAAATATTACTAATTTGATAAATATGTAGTAAGTACAAGGATGTGGCAAGCACTATTCTAAGCTCTGACAATAGCAGTAAACAAATTTGTTGTTTATGACTTGTTATAATTTACTGTTTATAGATCTGTCACCTCCAGTAGACTG